CGGTGAAGCCTGAAAGACCCTGTGTTTAACTAAAAGATCTGCTTAATGAAAGTTTGTTGCATTTTACAAAAAAAAACTAGCATCGGAGATCTAGCAGTCATTAGCCTACAAGATGCCGTCAAATTGTTCCGTGATTCTGAAATCTCAAAAAAACTTAAGAGACAGAAAAAAACTTAAAAAAATGTTCTTTGCAATCTTGCAAAAAAAAATTAGACTTGAAAAAAAATTATTAAAAAAAAGACTGCTGGTATATCACTTAGTATTCTGATTTCCCGTCAGAATATTTTTTCTAAACAACCTTTCGTACAAAATCTACTGCTCAATTTTTTGTTCAAAAAGTTGCAAGAAAACTTGATCCTAATTTTAATTTTGAGAAAATTTCATCATGAGTCAAAACTGTCTTTTGTCAATTGTAAGCGGATTTCCCAATAAATCGCTTTCTTTGTTCTTCTTTTGTTCTTTCGTTTTTTTACTCGTTAAAATTTTAACATGTTTAAGTAGTTAAATTTGGAACCCAATTACTTACAGACACAAAATTGTTCGTCGAACACAAAATATCTATCGGTATTGCAGTTTGTCTAAAATTGGTTTCAAATAATTATAGAAGTCATAAACATGCTTTTTTAAAAACAAAAACAGTGATTTTAAATTGATTTGCGACTACTTTAGTTTGATTTGAGGATGTTTCGGTTCCATTATTGAAAATGGATTCTTTTTATATAGGAATTGATTGTTTTTTCGAATTAAATTTTTAAAATTTTTGATATTTCGAGTTCAAACTTCAATTTTTTCACACTGCAGAGCAAAAAAAAAGAAATAAGTTCGATGCTAAGCTCAAAAAAAACTGAAAAAGATTCAATTAATTTCGCAGTTTTTGTTTTTAGTCTGAAAAAAAACGAAAGTGAAATTGGAGAAAATTGGATGGTTTTTAATTCTGCTCGGAAAACCACGTAATACCACTACAGTACTGATTTCAATCATCCGGAAAATAGGAGAAAATTTGGAGATATAACCGCGTTTTTCTCAAAATGGGTTAACTTTTGACAAAACAAGAACAGAGCAGAAATTGCTTAGAGTTCTAGCAGAACTGAAATGGGGCATTTTTTTTATGGATTGCAGAAACAAAATAACCCCCAAAATGAGCTTTTTTAAGTTAGTTAATCAAGGGTTACCCTGAGGTAACCGAGTGAAATTTAAAAAAAATTCCGAGGGAGGGGGCGGGGCGACTGCGGGGAAAGCGACTGCTCTTTTCAATTCTGGTTGCCAAAATTTATCGAAAGGGCCCTTTGGTATATCGTTACGATATCCATTTTTGGCTGATCAACCCAAAATTTTGCGAAAGGCGCCTTTGGCCCCAATATAACTTTTTTTGAGGTATGAGCGCGCGCCGAAAAAAAAACAATTTTTTTGTCAAAGTTTTCCAAAGAGATCCTAAAAACGTCTTTACCTGCGTTGCGACGCAGAAAATTGTTTAAAAAATGAGGCCCTTACAGCACTTTCGGAGATCTCGAAAATCAAATTGATCCACCAGAAATTAAAAAGATTACCCAAAAAATTCATAACTTTTCAAATAACCGCCCCACATAGAAAAAATTCTGCCCGCCCCACTGACAGAAGCATCGAATTGAATAGTCTTTCGACTCTTACTTCTATAATCGAAAAACAAGCTTAAAGAATTTTGACAAATCCTATGTTTAACTGAAAGATCTGTTTGATGATCAAAAGGAGACGCCCAATCTTTTGATCAAAGAAAACAAGGAGCAAAAAGTAGACAACCGCCAATCAATTGAGTTCAACTGAAACGTTTGCATTTTCGTATGGTCTAAGCATAGGTGTATGTCGCAACAAACTTCGTTGCATTGTCCAAAAAAATTAGTATCGGATATCCACGCCGTGCCATAAAACTTCAAACCTCCTAAGACTTTTTCCCGTTAACAAACTTTCTTACAAATTGTTCTGCTTAATTTCTTGCTCATAAGTGTCTTTTGTTTAAACGTTTACTACGGCTTGAAAATTGACTTTGAATAACTCAAGCTAACTCCAAGTTGAAATCACGTGTTTTGTCGTCGAGCAATAAGCGTAACCAGAGGAGCTATCTGTACAATTTAGTTTGACATGTTGTTTTATGTTGATTGTGAATCAAACAAGACTGCTTGTATCAGGGCGAAGCCCTGAATGTTCCGACTGCCTTTTAAGGTTTATGGAGCAGTAATAACATTAAAAAATTAAGTGTACGAAAAAATAAAATGAAATTTTTTTTTCTAAAATTTGAATTTTTTAATGAAAATCATCCCCCCACACGCCATACAAAATGCAAAAGGATAGATTTTGCTCCTTGTAACAAACCAATTATGGCGAATGAGCTTCTGTCAACCAATTTGGAACAATTTCTAAGACGGATTACCTCTCCGCTTACGCGTTAATAGCGCGTATTATATCGCGCGTTAATTGTCCCAAATTGGTCAAAATGGCAATCTTTAAACCCTCATAACTTAACAAAAAATGATCACAGGTAAAATATCTTTTCAAATTTAAGCTCAAGACAACAATACTTTTTGAATGATATAAAAAAAATCCCGTAAAAATGGCTAGTTAAAAAGTCGAAATTTGTCTGAAAAAAAACCCACCCCGAGCTTAAATATTCCGTAACTTTCGTATCGAAAGTCGGAACAATAAGGAGAACTTCTACTCTTTCCGAACTATCTATTGAGCATTTGCATGTTTGCTTTTATTACATAGAAGGATCATCTTTTGACAAAAAAGCAGGAAAGACGTTTATGTGAATCGGTTTTACAGTTTTTTAAGCTGGTTTCAAATCATGATAGAAGTCATAAATATCTTTTTATAAGAAAAAAAATTCAATAATAGTTTGCGACAACTTTAGATTAAATTGACGTTGCTTTGGTTCCAGTATCGAAAATAAATGGGTCTACTATCGGAATTGATTCATTTTTTTTCAATTAATTTTGTGAAATTTTTTTTGTGTTTCGACTTAACACAAGCTGCAAATTTATCGTATTGAAGAACAGAAATAAAATAGAAATAACAGAAACAAGGTTGATCTTAATTCAAAAAACACAAAAAGTTGAATTAGTTGCGTAGTTTTGTCTAGAATCTTAAAAAACGCTAACCAATTTAGAAAAAATTGGATACTTTTTCGTTCTGCTGGGAAAATCAAGTAAAACAACTCTAGTCCTGATTTCAATTATTCGGAGAAAACGAGCATCATTGGAAATTTAAACGCGTTTTGCTCAAAATGGGTAAGATTTGACAAAATGATAATTGAGCAGAAATTGTTTAGAAATTTAGCAGAACTGAAACAGGGAAATTTTTTTTTCGATTTGCGGAACCAAATTTTTACCCCCAAAAATGGTCTTTTTTAATTTGATCAAGAATTACGCTGAACTACCAAGTAAAATTGTAGAAAAATTTTTTTCAGACGGCACAGCCTAAATCTGCAAACTTTACTTTTCCAAAAATTTGATGGGCTGTGTATGAGGTTATATAATTTTTTGATATCATTTTTCTGATATAGTTTTTCTGATATAATTTTTTTGATATAATTTTCTGATATAATTTTTTGATCAATTTACTGGGTAGTTTCAGCATAATTTTTTATTAACTTACATTGGCAAAATTGAACCTTTTTTGGGGCAAAATTTTTTGGAGCAAAATAAAATGCCCCATAGTATTTTTTGTAATATTCTAACCAATTTCTGATTCGCTGATTATTTGTCAACTTTTAATAGAATTTGAGATAAACGAGTTTGAAGTATCTAATTTTGCTCATTTTGTCCGAGTACTTCAAATTAGCTTTGTAATAGTGCATCGTTTTGTGTGGCACCGCGAATTATCTTTGTTCTTTTTGTCGCAATAAACTTTGAACTGATCTATAGATGTAATATACTGCTTGCCTTGGTTTTTGGGAAAAAAGAAGAGAGTTATTACAAAAAAACTGCTCGTATGTCAGGGCAAAGCCCTGAATAATCGGACTGCTCCTGAATTCGCCAAAACTTTAAAATTTTAAAATGAGCTCTTCAAAACTTTTAAAAGCTATTTGGAGAAAAAACCACCCCGAGAAAAAAATTACGTCACTTTTTTTGAAAATTATGGGAACAATTAAAAGAAGTCAAATGCCATTTTGCCGATATAGGAAATCTATAAACTTAAAATCACTAGTAAAATCAAAATTTGTTTCGACAGTTGTTTCAGAGAATATTTTGCCTGATATTTGTAAAAGGAAATTTTAAGAATTTTTTAGATTTGTTCCTGAAAAGAAACGTCCTAAATATTAAAAAAAACTCATTTCTTTCTCTGGTGTCATAACGTGTTTCTTGGAATTTGGTAATTATAGATCATCTTGAACCGAAATTTTAAAAGTTACAGAACTAATTTCGATTTTAACTTTTTAGTCTCAGTACTGCATATAATTCATTATTTAAAACTTATAGTGTTTTCTTGATTACAATCGCTCGCACAAAACATTATTTTTTGGGTCATAAGCAGGAGAAAACGTTTTGCAATTCAGTTTGATGAAGCTTTTTGTCACTCAGTTTGTTAAAAAATGCTGGATCTGAGCCCACCAATAATCGCCCGAATTTTTTAATTGGAAATGGGGAGGAACTTTGCATTCGGGTGTGTTTCAGTTTTTTCCTTTTGGTTTCCACGCAAAATCAGGTACCTAAAAAAATTGGATTGGGTTATATTGGACTAATTTATAGTTTTACATCAGATCTTTTTATTACACCACGCTAATATGAGAATTTTTTTCTTTTAAGTTTTTAAAGACTATGGTTGGATTTTTTTGTGCTAAATGCACAGTAACCGGCTATCCTTGTTTCCACTTTCCTGCAATGTATAAATAATATTAATAGTAGTTCTAGGTGTCGTTTGATTACAATCAAATGTAAAAATTCAAATTAAACATAATTAGAGTAATTCTAATGTTTATAGGAAAAAAAATTGATATCAATAATCAAATCAGTACATATTAAGACGTTGAAAGCTTCTTGAGTCAAATGGATGCTCTTCCTCCGCCTATCTGCGACTAAAACCATTTCGCTTTTTCCGTCCTGCTTTATTACTTCCTCCGCTTTTTGCCCCTTTTGTTGTACTTTTGCTCCCGCCATTAGAAGTGCCACTTCCAGAAGCTCCGCTGCTGGAACCAGATGAATCGCCTAAGCTTCCGTCGCTTCCATTTTTCGAGGAGTCTTTTTTCAACCCCTTTTTGGAATGTTTCTTTTTTTCATTACAAATCCAGGCGTTATCTCGGCACATTATGTTGTGTTTAAACCAGTGAAATGTTAACATATTTCCTGGATCGTCAAACGGAAAAACGAAGGAAAGAATATGTTGGATCCCGATATCGCCGCCGATGTCGCTACCCGCGATGACGTAAGGTTGACCTTCGACTACTTCGCTATGATGATCACGCCGTAGGTTTCCAGGGCCAAAACCGACATCCATGATTAAGTTCAGGCAATATTCTTCCAGGTAAAACGCCTGAAACACAAAGACATCCATATTTGATGAATCAATCTTTTTGCTTAGCAGTGTACCTCCAAGGAAGTGTACTTCATAAGATTTAATTTTGGTGCCAAAGAATTTTGAGAAGTAAGCTCAGCGAAGAGAGGTTATCTTATAAAACACGATAGTCGTTATATAACTTTACCGATAGATAGTTGAGAGGCTTGTTGTCCTCGTTTTTGTAGTCTGTGAGTTTGGCCATGTAATCATCAGGAGCCATCTGTTTGTTTAAGAACCCATTCACAAGGTACTCCTCCGCCTGCCCTCTGCAACAGTCCTCTAAAACAACATATATACCTGCAGGCAGGGGCGGATCAAGGATTTTCTCGAGGCAGGGACGGATTTTGAAAAAATTTTCGAAAATTTTCACGAGCTTTTTTTCTTTTTTTTTTATGTCGACCAAATAGATTTTCGGAGCTCTCCTAAAGCACTTAAAGGTGCTGTTTTGAACAAACAAATTTTCTGCGCCACAAGCAAATTTTTGAAAAAACAGGTAAAAAAAACGTTTTTGGGCACTTTTTGGAAAATTTTGAAAAAAAACGCGTTTTTTTTTGGCGCGCGCTCCCCCTTAATATATATTGGCCTTAAGAAAAATTTGAGGGCCGGTTGGCCAAAAATGGATTTCTTAAAAAAATAACCAAAGGGGGGACCCTTTGGGTCGGCAGGGGGTCGAATCCCTAAAGGAGGAGGGCGTCCGCCCCCTCCCCCCCCCCCGCCCCTCCTAAATCCACCCCTGCCTGCAGTTATATCTGGACAAATATATCTGAATTACTGTGAATGACTGTTGAAATCTGATAAAAAGAAATCGTTGTATCAATGTTACTCCCTCCATTAGAAGTATATATATGTATATATATACGATGATTTCTTATCAGGTTTCAACAGTCATTCACAGTAATTCAGAGTAATTCACATTAATTTGTTGGTTCTTTCCTTTTTAGATAAATCATTCTGACTAACTGAAAATAAACAAAATTTTTAAAATGTAGAAAATATTTATATCAATTAGGTGCAGCAGCTTCAGCTAGGGCAGAATGTAATTCAAACCGCTAAAGCTGTAATACTTTTTTAGATGTTAACTTGTCTTGTCCTGATAAGTGAACATGGGTACTGGTTAACACGGAAAAGACGATAGAATAAATCAAATCTGCATTGGCAAAATTAATTCAAACTCAAGATTTCTGCAACTGATGCAAATTCATATTAATGCAAGTTTACTTCCACCTTAAAAACAAAAGGAGTTAATGTAAAAATTTGTACTAAACTTAAATTTTTTAGATTTACAGTTTTTTTTACCGTTTATAGTTCTGATTAAAATATTTGGAAAATGTTTGATTCAATATAAAATGATTTTAAGTATCTTTCTTCCATTTTTTACTTAAATAATCACAATTAGAAAAATAATAAATCCTACTTTATACATTTGCTGAAACAGTTTAAAGTTTAAAATTGACATGTGCATATTGAAATAAAAGGGAAAAATTGGTGTAAGTATTCAAACTGAGAATAATATTTTTTCAATTTCTATCAACCTACGTGTTTGGAAATCAATGATCTGTTAAACAATTAATTTATCAAAAATGCACTACTCGGGTTGCATTTTTTTTCGTTTGGGATTGCTTTGTATTAATTAACTTATCTCTTATAGCGTTTTGATTGATTATAATGAAATTTTCTGAGTGCTTTGAACTTATTTGATAAAAGTACTCGGGGTTGTTTTTTCTCCAGAAAAACTTCGAATTTTAAAGTTGGGCGTTTAAAAGTTGCCAGTTTAACCAACTTGAGATACTTAGCGCGAGATCGTTCGTGCTATTATTGCGTAAACGCAGATTTTACGCGTCTTTGAAGTTTGTTCCAAACTGATTCAAAGCATGCTTTTTGGTTTATTTTTAACTATGAGATACTGTGCGAGATTCATTTTTTTTCAAACCGAACACTATTCCATAGAGCTTGAAAACTAGTCATTTTATTCAGAGCCTCGTCGCACTGATACGAGCATATTGATATTGATAATTGCATGTCTTTCAGTTCAATTGTTTTAGCCGTCAAATCCGAGAGAAAAACGATTAAGATTGAACGGCAGATTATTGTTCCGACTTTCGATACGAAAGTAACGGAATATTTGTGCTCGGGTGGGTTTTTTTTTCTTCAGACAAATTTCGACTTTTTAACTACCCATTTTTGAAGGAATTTTTTTATATCATTCGAAAGGTATTGTTGTCCTGAGCTCAAATTTGAAAAGATATTTCACCTGTGATCATTTTTCGAAAAGTTACGGGGGTTTAAAGATTGCCATTTTGGCCAATTTGGGACAATTAATGCGCGATATATTTCGCGCTATTAACGCGTAAGCGGAGAGTTAATCCGTCTTAGAAATCGTTCCAAATTGGTTAAAAGAAGCTTATTTGCCATAATTGGTTTGTTACAAGGAGTAAAATCTATCCCTTTGTATTTTATATGGTGTGTGGGGGGATAATTTTCATTAAAAAAATTTCAAATTTTCGAAAATTTTATTTTCATTTTGTTTTATTTCATTGAATTTTTAAATGTTATTACTGCTCCATAAACCTTAAAAGGCAGTCGGAACATTCAGGGCTTCGCCCTGATACGAGCAGTCTTGTTAAGTTTGTATAATTGAATGAGAACAGACGAGCTGATAAGTTAACGTGTTTGATGAAAAATTGAAAAAACCTACGTGCTTTTTCTTAAGTGTTTCAATATGCTCAGCGACAAAAGTCTCTATTACACCATTATTGCTTAACACATTACAGTTTTCGTTAAACGAGCATTTGTTCCAAGTAAAAATTGGACAGTTTTCCAAATAGTGATGTTGTGTTATGTTACTTGATGACCTTTTTTTCAATCTTTCGACCCTTCTTTTAAGCCAGTAATTTTTTAAGTGTACCAAAAAACATATAGGTGTCAGCGCAGATAAATTCCACTGACTGTGCTTGGTCATTTTAAAAAAAAATATAGTTTAAACCGTTAAGGGTTTTTAAGACTAGTTTTCGGGAGATAATTAGTTATCATTAGCATTCGAAGCGTGATTTTGATTTCTTGTACTGTAATTTTCTCAAAAAACTTTCAAAGTTTAGTTTCACATATTCGTATTTGAACTACTGAGGGAATTATATGGTGCATGTATGTTCACGTAGATTAGTTTCTTGTAATTTTTTGTCAAGTGTCTAAACAACAGTAATTGCAGCAACTCAACAAAACAACGGTCTGGACAATGGTATTTTCATGTCGCATTCATTCACTTTTCGCAAGTTTTCAAAATAACCGTCAAAAAATAACAGTCTGCATAAAATAAATTGCTCTCAAAACATATCTAACAGTTAAATACTTTTACATATTCCCTAGACAAAATAAATATCGTTTTTGTAGATTGTCTTGAGAAAAAGATTTTCTTTTCGGTCGTCTATTATTTTAAACTTTCGCATAACTTGTTTCAAGATTTTTGAAATCTCCTTTTTTAACACACAATTTAAACTGCCTTCTCCAATTGTAACATGATTTACATAAAACAAATTATTATTGTTTTTAGGTGTATATGGGTTTATTTATGTATTGGAAAAATTAGTACTAAAAAATGTTTAATAAAATTTCTTTGTTCATTCATCTTCTTAAACCTGTCCAACTCAGCATGACTAGCGCTCTGTAAAAAACTTACTCTAAGCTATTGGAGGAGAAACTTGCTAAATTTTAAACTACTCCTTATTTTGACCAGAGCATTATTTTTGTTTTGTCTTTGTGACGTTAATTGATGATCACCTAGCCAAATAGTGAGTTAGGACCAAAGTGGTTAACTCATAGAGTAATTTCGGATAGGGTACACCGTCTGCTCGTCACGCTATCTTATTTTCGGCCGGATAGATTCGTGCAACTTCTTAGTCTAATACCGATCCTAATCTTACTCTTATACTATCTAGTCTCAGGGTGTTTAACTAGTCTCTGCTAGGCTCAATAGATCTAGGGTATACTGGTTTATTGCGGCTGCTGAAGTCTTCTTGGAGAGTCAACTAATTTCTAAGTTAAATTCAAATCTCTCTGGTGCTGAAATTACAAGTAACTTCAGCACTTACAAATAAGTGGGTTGTTAGTTAGATGGATCATGATTGGTTAATATTAAATACTTTACAGTGGTAAAATACCTAATTTATCCAATCATAAAATATAGTTTAGATCAGGTTCCACCCATCCGGGTTTTACAGAGTTTTTTAGAATAGTCTTTCTGCAATTCAAAGGATGGATGATGGACGTTGGTATTTGGCGAACATCTTATTTCTTCTGGGTTTTCTTATTAGAGAAGTCCCAGATTTAATCGTTGTGTCTTCTTAAGACAACGACTGGGTTTTCGCAACAAACTCAAATCTGATTTCAGAATGGTTGGCTATGACAGGTTTTTCCGTTTCATGTAGAGAACTTCTTTTGTGTTTGACCTTGTCTGGGAATGGCGTGGAGATTGTGTGTGGAGGGGATGCCTGGTTACTCGGATCTGTACGTATACTTGAACATCGAGGTGGTCATTGGTCTAGTTCAATGAAGTCCTTTTCTGCGAAGTCAAGTCGTACTCTAAATCCTTTGAGTTGTGATTGTGGGCGGCATATTGATTGTTGTTGGCCATTCTTTTTCGAGTGTATTGGGATCATTTTGTCTTTGGATGTTCGTCTTTGGTGTTGTATGCTGATCTATATACTGCAAAGTATAATTTACATTTTATAAAATTTTTATTAGTTTGGTGTTTTAATTATGATTTTGGTTAGTTGTTTTCACAAAAGCTTTTTGTTTTAGTTCGGTTATTTTGAAGAGTTACTCACCCTTGTGTACCTCTTATTAAAAATAGGAGTGTGGTCACAAAGCGTGGATGTAGCGCGGTGGGTTAGGCCGGCTATAGAGCATGCTCAGGACGTCCTCTCTGGTGGGTTAGGCCAGGAGTGGGAGTATGATTTCGTGCGGTTTCTGTGAGAGGTCCTGTTATGTGATAACGTTTTATGTTGGGTTTATTGTGGTTTTTCTTATGTTTCGTTGGTTGTGTCCTTTTTTCAAAAATCAAATTGTTTTTGGTATGGGTTTGTCTTTCGACTTTTTTGTGTTTTATTATTTCTTTCTTAGACTTTATAATAGTCTTCAAAAGAATAAATTATCCAGTTTTAAACTGGGTTAATCCGGTTTGGGTACTGTTGGTTTCCTTTTCTTAGTCCTGCTGTTATTCTATGTGTTGTGGTGTTTAGTAAGCTGCATTGGTTAGTTTTGTTTAGTATATAATTCCTTTCCAA